TATAACAAAGTGGATAATAATTATAAGCAATGATATTCGATTTGTTCAAATTGGTCACATTTGGCACGAATTATGGCCTTCAAACGGCTAATTAATGTTTCTTCAAGCGCTTGCTTGAGGTGATCGACAATTTGGTATTTTTTAGTTTTGGAATGTCCAAGGTCTGCGGTCAAAATGTTTTCGTGCCCAAGGCTTTAATACACCCTCCAGAATATTTTCGCGATAATATTCGGCATTTATTCTGATGTCACGGTCGATTTATACAAGCGGAGAGCGACCATCGGCACCATCACCATGGCCGGCGCTTGAGTTCTGGTGGCAAACCGAAGGTGCACATTTTTAGCTGACCTCTTTGGCAAGTAAACACGATAATTTTGTTTGTTTACAAACTGCTGGACAACGAATGTTTTCTCATCGGAGAAAACCAAATTCGGCAGTTCACCACTTTCGGCCAAGCGAAGCAACTCTTTAGCTCTTCTGTTGCGGTGTAAGTTCTTGTACTTTTTGGGATTTAAATGGCTTTACCCCGAGCTCATTTTTTAATATTTGCTGAATAGAATATTGCGATATGTTCAGCTCATGAGCCATTTTCGGCCAATGCGACGCGGTTTTCAATCTTTACTTTTCGAACCATTTCTGCTGATGTTGCTGTTTTCTTCCGTCCACTTCCTTGACGTCGGGATACGCTACCAGTATTACAGTGTTGAGCGATGGTACAAGATACAAAAGATTTATTTACATTTAAGTACTGGAGTGCTCTAACGATAGCCACTTGTGGTTTTCCAGCCAAATATAAAGAATTCACACTATTACGAATAACTTATTTTTTTTGGAAAATTCTCAACAAAATGCTTTTGTACGCTTGTGAACAATATAATGAGCTGTCACTGGAATAATTTTAACAGCTGTCGGGCGAGTGGCTTTGAAATGACAACAGTCTAAAGGTGGTTGCAGTTTTTTCATCTCACCCTGTTTATTCTTGAACAACATAAAATCCTGTGTCGATTTAGCGATGACAGTCCGTCTGTGGAAATCACTTTAGCTTCTGAACGAATTGAAGTAGGTTTATAATATTCCACTCAAATGTGTGTTTGGTCTGCAGGAATTTTTGTATTGAGAATGGGCTATATAGGTCCACGTATTTGAAGTTCGTAATAAATACTACAGATTGAGACAGAAAATTATCCATGCAGGTCCGCGTCTTTGTATAGCCCCTATATAACGGTACCTCCTTATAATCGGTATTTTGATCATATTTTGGACATTATTCAACGGAATTGTGTTAAATTTTGAATTTAAGTTGGCAGAAGGAGTGGACCAATATATTCCATTTTCACACCAGACCTTGGGTATGTAAAAATATTGTAATGTGTATAATTTGAAGAGAAGAATCGGAATCTTATATCACATTTTATAAGAGTTATATTTATTCAAAATGTTGACCCTTTGTGAAGAGGTACTTGATGTCCATTTCCGAACCTGACCTAGTACTGATGCAAATATTAAGATTTGCCAAGTTGGAGCATAATCGGATTATCCTTTCTCTTTCTGTGCAGTAAAATATTTTTTTGAACATTTGGGGAAGGTACCAGAAGGAGTGGACCGGTATTGCCCATGATGTACCAAGTCGTATACTCCCTTGGAGAGTTATCGTGCGCTCCAGCCAGCCAAACATACAGACGGGCGAACGAACGGACACCGCTAGATCGACTCCAAATGTCCTGTATTTTGATGGATTTTGACCAAAGAGACCTAGGGTATAAAACCGTTATTTCGATGAGTTTTGGTCGTATCAAATGATATATGTATACCCTCTCTAGCCATATGGCTGAGGGTATAAAAGTCGTAGAAATATACTATTTAAAGGAAAACCGCTATATATGGGCTTTACGAAGACGAGCTATACGATACCTATCGTATTTATACCCTACAACACTATGTGTTGGGGGTATTATAAGTTTGATTGGGCCAGAATTTATGTAACACCTCCAAATATTGGTTTTCCATATAGGAAAGTATATATGGATCTTCCTAGCTCGCCGGGCTGAGTCGATCTAGCTATGTATGTCCGTCCGTCCGTCTGTCCGTATGTCCATGTTAATTTGTAATCACTCTACAGGTCGCAATTATGGCCCGATCCTTACGAAATTTTGCACGAAGGTGGGGTTAGGGTCAGAATAGAAGCCTATTTCCATATTATTTTGAAGATGATCGCCAAATGTTTAGGGGTTGAAATGGACGAAATACTGAAAAAATGTCGGATTTTGCAGTAGCTATACAGGTCGCAATTATAGACCAATCGAAATTTCGCATGTAGATAGAGTTTAGGGCGGGGAAGAAGCCTACCAATTTGGGTGGTCATCGGATAATATTTAGCGGGTAAAATAGACCATTACACCGTGAATATTTTAAATCCCGTCGAAATCACAAAGCCATGACATGGTTACTTCTGACATTTACATTGATGTTAACATCCAACAAATCGGATATATAGCAAAATATGTGCGATATATATGTCTATCAAAGAAGATATGCTTGAAAGATCTCTTATATGACGAGAACGGCTGAACTGATTTCGACAGTTCTCATCAAGATGGCCTCTTGTTAGGAAAGAAAAAACGTCTAAAAATTGCATAAAAATATCTCTCTAAAGATGAAAATATTGGATTTGTAACATTTTCTCATATTTTTTCAATTTTGTCATATTTTTGGCATATTTTCATTTTGAATTAAACATTTGGTAATATTTCTACAGCTAACAAAACTAAGTAGTTAAGATATCAGGATATCATATACAGATCGCATTTATGGCCCGATCCTTTTGCATGGGGATAAGATGAGGGTCAGAATAGATGCCTACTCTTTTTGGAGATGATCGTTATATATTTAGGGGTTGAAATGGACCAAAAAACTGCAAAATTGTCAGCAGGTCGTAATTATCACCTCACGCACATTTGAATGGGGTTTACCTCACATTGCAAAAGACAAGCAGTTTCGGATGGCCATCCAAAAATATTCAATGTGTGAAATAGTTTACCAACTTTTATGGACTAAATACGAAAATGTCCATTCCAGCGACTTTTTGGAGAATTCACAAATACAGAAAAGACGCACTTCTGACTATTTCGTTAACGCTGAGTTCGTTGAAGAATATAGTCAAATGTCTGTATCTCATATAGATGCGTTTCAGTCAAAAACCAATAATAAATGTTAATCTTTTGCCACTTCTGAGAGATTATAGGTCTTTGGGAAACATTGGTTCCAGATCTAGGAAGACCATTTACGTGCAACATCTACCAATAAATTGGAAATGAGAAAATTAGTTTAAGTTGCTATTATTCGAAAATTAGGGAACGAAACATGATGGTTTTCTTTTATTATTTGTCACATCTTGTGGAATTCTTTCGAGTATCTCGCCTATATAAACTGTATGGTTTCTTATAGTGTTGTAGGGTATTCAACGATCGGCCCCGCTCGACTGTAGCCTTTGCTTACTTGTTTTATATTTATACATAGGCTGTAGTACCGATTCCGCACATTAAATACGAAATTTAAAATAATTCCGGTGAATAATGTCTCTAAAATCATATAAAATCCCGAATAAAGGTAGGTATTGTTATATGGGCGTTTTACGAAGACGTGAACCTGCATGAGAAATTTTCTGTCATAGGTTGTAGCATGGTACAATGATATCAAGGTAGGGCTATGATACCATATGATTCTAATTTTTTTATTTTCTTGGCTTAATATGTCAACTTTTTTTTGTTTATGTATGTGTTTTCTTTTCAATAACAAAAAGTTTGTTCAGAAAATATTCAAATTCGTGTGTTTTCAAAATGTTTATTTCAACGTATGCATCGACAAAAGCTAGAGTTTTTGTAGCGAAATAATCGTTTAGAGATATATAGTACATGATTTTGAAATGAAGTGTTGACTTTCCATTCAGTTATCGCGTTTTTCAATTATTTATTCAAAATAAATACAACAAGTTGTTTGATTTTTAATTGTTTTGATACTAATTCTGACATTACAAGCCAAACAAGTAGACCTCTATACTTGCAATTTTTTCAAAGTTGACCTACCTTCTCTTCATTGTACCATGGGTTGTAGTACCCATTACAAACTTTAAATACTAAATTTGATACAATTCCGGTCTATAATGTCGCTAAAATCATCAAAGTACTGAATATCGGGAGGTGCCGTTATATGGGGGCTATACTGAAACATGAATCTATGTAGACAATTATTTTCTACATGGTAAAGTACTCAGAAGAAACTCCTTGTGTGGATTTTCAGAAAATTCCATTGAAAAATGTGGCTAAATCATCGAAATAGCGAATATCGTGTACCTATATATCGCACATCCTCGAACTTGACCTGCCTGCAGACAAAAGACTGATTTGTGCAATTTTAGCTTCCAATAATTAATCTAATTCCTTTTAAATCTATAGCGATTACAACAGATGGACGGATGGGCAGGGCTAATCGTCTTAGAATTTAACGTTAATCACGAATATACTTTCTTAGGTCTATTATTTCGATGAGATACAAACGGAATGACGAACTTAATATATCCTCCTACTATGTCTAGGGTATAAAAAGAAGTTGTATTTTTCTACCTCCTATTATTGTACTATGGGTGTAATATAACTATTACGAGGAGTTACAAACGTAATGACTAAATTAATATACATTGTCATATGGGTCATATTATGTAGGGTATTATACAAAAAAATCTGGCAACTCTGCGCACAAGAGCCAACAACAAACAAGTGGAGCAAATAATAACAATTTCTCCCAATAACACAGTGTGTTGTATGTAATTAGAATATGTATCTTCTGACATGACTTCACCACCCACAAGAACCAACGATGGCGATGTTGTCTTCGTCGCCTAGAATGAGAATGTACGTACTGGTCGTATGGAAATTGTATGAAAATTTCAGATGCACTCACCAGCATTCATTCATTCATCGGATCCAACATTCTGTTATAGTCAGATGTGCATTGATGTTCGTCGTGAACGGTTGTTGTTGTGGTGTGTTCGCTTAGATTTATGGTACATATTACAGAATAATTGCAACAAAAAGGAAAAAGTTAATGATTTTCTTTTGCCACAATTTTCAAATTTGTTCCGAAGCCAAATAAAATATTAAAGAAGGTTCTCAGTGTCGCTACGGGAATTATTATCATCGACTTCAGCATGTCCTTGGTGCCCGTTTAAAAAGTGACAAAATAACGGAAACTCATTTCGAAAGTGTGTGCACTGCGATAAAAGAGGAAACGAAACGCCTCTGAAAAAAATATACGAATACGAATACGAGTAAAGGAAAATGTGTGTAAATTCCAAAAAAATATGGAAGATGTGAAAGTGTATTTCTTGTTCTTGTAGTTTCTGTTCAGATATAAGTAAGCCTACATGAATTTATATTCTCTATCGCTTGGATTTAAAATGTGACAAAACGGATGTGGGCAAAAAGTTTGTGGAGACGCATACGATTACAAAGCTATGGCAAAATCAGATAACATACTGCAAAAATGTCTGATACAAATTAAAAAAATGCCAATAAGATTTTGTTTTTTTTTTTTTTTTTTTTTGCAAATCCTATAAAACTTCCCAAGTTGTTCTGTAAATAAATATCGACCAAAAAGAATTAGTTGAATTGTGATTTACATAAACCGTGCCAAATATTGAAACATGCATATGGGATTATTTTAAACTTTAAAATAAAACAACATTATGTGCTGTTATGGAAAAATAAATGTATATGTCTGAGCCTGCAATAAGCTATTAGTTATGACGACTATGCCAATTTTTACTTTAAAAATAAATTTGAAAAGTTTGAAAGTTTTTTTTTTTTTTGTACGGAAACACATACCTAAGGACTTTAATTGGAGATAAATAATAGTTTATGAATTTATCAATATTCTTCAGGGCAGTATTGGTCACCAGTTTTCAAACTTTTATGATATAAAACAAGTAAAAAAGCAGCTAAATTCGACCCGGCCGACATCCACCCTTTGGAATGAAGTTGAAAAATTAAAAAAAAAAAACTTGAAGACGTGGAACTGCTTACGAAATTTTGTCATAGGATGTAGTACCCATTACGAACTTTAAATACGAAATTTGTTACACTTCTGGTGAACAATGTCACACAAATCATAAGAATACCGTGTATTGGGAGGTACCGTCATATCGGGGCTATACGAAGACGTGGACCTGCATACAATAATTTTTGTCATAGGCTGTTGCACCCACTACGAACTTCAAATACGAATTTTGAAAAAATTCCAAGTCCAAGGTCTGCGGCTAAAATCTTTGCATACTGTTTAAGGTTTTAGACATGGCTATATATAAGGACGGCCATTAAGTTCATCTGACAACTAGGTTTGCTATCAAAAGACATAATTGTGATTTGAAATTCAAAGAATGTCACATCACAATGATGCAAAAACTACTAAGTTTACTGTCAAAAGTAGTCTCCTTGGCCGACCTTTTATAGGCCATGATGTCAAGTAATACCCATTGTTTTAAATAATATTTGTTCACCCTACATACTATGTATGGTGTGTATTTTAAGTTCGTCATTCCATTTGTAACTCATCGAAATAATTAGTTAAGACCTAACAAGTAAAAAAGCAGTAAGTTCGGCCGGGCCGATCTTTGAATACCCTCCACCATTTGGAACGAATTAGAAAATTTAAAAAAAAAAATAAAATCCAATAAAAATTCTTTTAAAATCTTTAAAATATCTATCCGATATATGGGGGGATATACGATATTGTGGATCTATAAAGACAAATCTATGTCTTCGTGTAAAGTACTCACAAGCAACTACTTGTATGGATTTTAAGATAATTCCATTGGAAAAAGTGGCTAAAATCATCAAAATACCGAATATAGGGGAATACCGTTATATGGGGGATATACGATATTGTGGACCCATATAGACAATACCGTTTCAGGGGTAAAGAACTCCGTGTGTGGATTTTCAGACAATACGATTGGAAAATGTGGCTAAAATCATCAAAATACCGAATATCGCGGGGTACCGTTATATGGGAGCTATACGTTATCGTTAATAATTCTCTGTCGGGGGGTAAAGTGTTCACAAAGAACCCCTTGTGTACAAAGAACCCCTTGTGACCATTCCGTTGAAAAATATATGCTAAAAACATCAAAATACCGAATATCAGGGGTACCGTTGTATGAGGTCTATACGATATCGTGGATCTATATAGATAATTCTCTGTCGAGGTATAAAGTACCCACAAGGAACTCCTTGTGTGGATTTTCAGACAATTCCAATGAAAAATGTGGGTCAAATCATAAAATATCGAATATCGGGAGGTACCGTTATATGGGGGATACACGATATCGTGGACCTGTATAGACAATTCTCTCAATATCGGGAGGTACCGTTATATGAGGGATACATGATATCGTGGACCTGTATAGACAATTCTCTCTCAGGGGGTGAAGTACTCACAAGCAACTACTTGTGTTGATTTTAAGACAATTCCATTGAAAAGCGTGGCTAACATCATCAAAATACCGAATATCGGGGGTTACAGTTATATGGGGGATATACGATATCGGGGACCTATATAGACAATACTTTTTGAGGAGGTAAAATGCCCATAAGGGACTCCTTTTGTGGAATTTCAGACAATTCCATTGAAAAATGTGGCAAAAATCATCAAAATACCGAATACCGTGGGGGTACCGTTACATGGGGGCTATACGATATCGTGGACCTGTATGGACAATTCTCTGCCGAGGTATAAAGTACCCACAAGGAACTCTTTGTGTGGATTTTCAGACAATTCCGTTGAAAAATGTTGGTAAAATCATCAAAATACCAAATATCGGGGGGTACCGTTATATGGGGGCTATACGATATCGTGGACCGATATAGCCCATCTTCGAACTTGACCTGCCTGCAGACAAAAGAGAGATCTGTGCAGAATTTTAGCTTCCTATCTTAATTCGTTTAGACTGTAGCGTGATTACAACAGACGGACAGACGGACGGACAGGGCTAAATCATCTTAGAATTTTACGCTGATCAAGAATATATATACTTTGTTGGGTCTAAAATGATTATTTCGATGAGTTACAAACGGAATGACGAACTTAATATACCCTCCATACCTTTTTTGGTGGAGGGTATAACAAAGTATATATATTCTTGATCACCGTAAAATTCTAAGACGATTTAATGCTGTCCGTCTGTTGTAATCACACTAGAGTCAAAAAGAATTAAGATAGGAAGCTAAAATTTTGCACAGATCTCTCTTTTGTCGTATAGCCCCCATATAACGGTACCCCCGATATTCGGTATTTTGATGATGTTAGCCACATTTTTCAATGGAATTTTCTGAAAATCCGCACAAGTAGTTCCTTGTGGGTACTTTATACCTCGGCAGAGAATTATCTATATAGGTCCACAATATCGTATAGCCCCCATATAACGGTACCCACCGATATTCGGTATTTTGATAATTTTAGTCAAATTTTCCAATGGAATTTTTTGAAAATTGTCTGAAAATCCACACAAGGAGTTCCTTCTGGGTACTTAACCCATGAAATAGAACTGTCTATATAGGTACATGATATCGCATACCCCCATACAACGGTACCCCCGGCATTCGGCATTTTGATGAATTTAGCGACAGTTTTCTCCGGGAATTTTCACAAATTTCTTATTTGAAGCTTGTAATGGATACATTAACCTATGAAGGAAAATGTTCTATGCAGGTCCTCGATTTCGCACAGCACCCATATAACAATACCTCGCGATATTCGGTATTTTGATGATTTTAGCGACATTTTAATCGGTATTGTTTTAAATTTCGAATATGAAGTTCCTAATAGGTACCATCTGCAAATTGTTCGTCGATGTCTTCTTATAATCCACATATAACGGCACCTCCCATTATTCGGTATTTTGATGATTGTAGCCAAGTTTTTCAATGCAATAGTCTGAAAATCCACACAAGGAGTTCCTTTTGAATACTCTACAACCTGGAAGAGAAATGTCCGGTATTTTGATGATTTTAGCCAAAATTTTCGATGGAATTGTCTAAAAATCCCCACAAGGAGTTCCTTCTGAATACCTTATCCTATATAGGTTCACTGTATCGCATTCCCCCATACAACGGCCCCCTCCCAATATTCGGTATTTTAATGATTTTAGCCACAATTTTCAATGGAATTGTCAAAAAATCCATACAAGGAGTTAATTCAGAATAACTTATCCCCTGAAATAAAAATGTCTTTATAGGTCAACGCATATCCCCATACAACGGCCCCCGATATTCGGTATTTTGATGATTTTAGCGACAGTATTCACCGGAATTTTTTCAAATTTCTTATTTGAAGCTTGCAATGGATACTTTAACCTATGACGGAAAATTTTCTATTCAGGTCCACGTTTTCGCATATTCCCCATGTAACGATACCTTCCGATACTCGGTTTTTTTATGATTTTACCGACATGTTTATGAGAGGAATTGTTTTCAATTTCCACTCTAATACCTGACCTCTTGTGGCATTATAATGCTGTTTATACCCACTTAGATACCATACCATTCCAACTAACCTAATTCTGTTGATATTCTGGAACTAAAATTCGTGAACATTTCCGTTTGGAAACCAAAAACAAAACCTTCATGTTCTAGAAAGAAAACAATGTTAATCTTTGATAAAAAATTTAAAAAAAAATGTGTAAACAAATACACTGTTCTCATTGCACTTGACCAGTCGTTCCATTTTGATATATATATAAAATCCATAACACGCCATTGTTCTTATTTATTGTCTAGAAATGCTTGAAGGCAAAAGACATGTGTGAGTTAAGCCGAAATTGTGATAACAACATCTGGATTTGAAAACTGAAAACAACAACGTTCACATTTGGCACGAGAAATATCTTCAACGAATTCAATTATTAAGCTAACCAAAAATTACAGCGGAAGTCAAACAAATTAGTTGAAATCTAATTTCAGTTGTTGTGCTCAAGTCACTGCCTGAGGTTGTCAGCGCATCGCTATCCTTTTTGTGGACTCTCCAAAGCATTGTGCTGCAGTTCGAACTACACGCAGATGCAAAAGCTTGTCGGCGCAAAAAAGGAACAACCACAACAAAATAAACTTTGAAATACTTCACAGTGCGAAAAAATCTCAAATCCACATTGAAGCCATCAAAGACGAAGGAATAAGAGTTCCTCCTTCCCCTTGCTGGCCGGTGCAGTGATTCTCGATATACGGTCCATAGTAAAAAAAAATATTATTGCTGTTTTCAATTAAGAGTTGTGTGAAAAACTTCGACGTTCGTTTAACTTTTTGCTGTTTGTGAAACGAAGTTCGCAAAACTTATTGCACGCCCAGTGTCGGTACGGCGGCTGACATACGTGTAATTTACGTGCGTTTGAATTTCTCGCGCGTTTGTATTAAAAGTTTAGCAACACCTTTATGTGTGTTAAATACTAACAACTACAAAAAGAAATAGTCTAGTCTAGAAAAGAGAAGAAAGGCCAAGGAAACACCGAAACAGGGAGAAATAAAACGAATATCCTTGTTGTGAAAATGACTCGTAACTTTATAGTTTTGACCACTTTGTGGTTGTGGCTGCTGCTCTTAACGATATGTGCACCTTCATTGGCTGTATCCTGCCCCACTGGATGTAATTGCTTTCAACGCACAGTTCGTTGCATACGGTCTCGTCTAACCACCATACCAAGAGTTCCCGCGGATACGAAAGTTCTGTAAGTATTGCCGTATTTTTAAGCTATCAACTGTATTCAATGTTTCCAGATGGAAACGTGTAATTTAATTTGATTCAAGACGTTATTCTATGTACAGATAATATATAAAATGTGTTTGAAAAACAAGTGTTAAATTCAATATATGCTTTCAATTAAATAGTATGATCACAAGTTCGAACCTTCCCGAAATTAGAATGAAGCTCTGAAATTTGAATATCAAAACTCAGCAAGTTTTTGGTGAAATTATACCAATTTTTCTTTTTATACCCTCCACCATAGTATGGCGGGTATATTAAGTTTGTCATACCGTTTGCAACACCTCGAAATATACATTTTAAACCCCACAAAACATATACAGGGTGAGATAAAAAAAACTGCAACAAAGTCAAACGCCATAATTTTTACATTTTTTTTAATTTTATTGAATGAAAGCAAAAAATGTTGGAAATAGCGTCAAATTTAAGGATAAGTTTAGATTTGTTCGAATTGGTCACCTTTGGCATGAATCGTGGCCTTCAAACGGCCAATGCAACCGTCACACGCTGCCCGAATGTTGCTCTGCGGTATTTTGGCCCATTCCCGGCGAAGCGCTTGCTTGAGGTGATCGACACTTTGGTATTTTTTAGTGTCATCCTTGCTTTCCAAAATACTCCAGCCACATTAAGTTTTTAGAATAAGTTTAGATTTGTTCGAATTGGTCACCTTTGGCATAAATCGTGGCCTTCAAATGGCCAATGTAACCGTCACACGCTGCCCGAATGTTGTTCTGCGGTATTTTGGCTCATTCCAGGCGAAGCGCTTGCTTGAGGTGATCGACACTTTGGTATTTTTAGTGCAATCCTTGCTTTCCAAAATACTCCAGACACAATAGTCCAATGGATTGGTATCCGGAGATTTTGGTGGCCATTGTGCGCTGGAAATGAAGCGAGGAACCTCTTTTTGTAAGCATTCTTGGGAGGTGAGTGCTGAGTGCGATGGTACTGAGTCTTGTTGGAATGTCCAAGGTCTGCGGCCAAAATGTTTGCGTGCCCAAGGCTTTAATACACCCTGCAGAATATTTTCGTGATAATATTCGGCATTTATTCTGATGCCACGGTCAATTAATACGAGCGGCAAGCGGCTGTTATGGCGGCCCACACCATCACTATGGCCGGGGCTTGAGTTCTAGTGACCAACCGAAGGTGTACATTTTCAGCTGACCTCTTTCGTAAGAAAACACGATCGTTTTGTTTGTTTACAAACTGCTGGACAAAATCGGCAGTTCACCATTTTCGGCCAAGCAAAGCAACTCATTAGCTCTTTTGAGTTTATTTTCTTTCTGTTGCGGTGTAAGTTCTTGCACTTTTATTGACATTTAAATGCTGTAATGCTCTAACGATGGCCACTTGTGGTTTTCCACGCTTGAATTCCATCACGAATAATTTTTTTTCTGGAAAATTCTCCGCAAAATGCTTTTGTACGCTTGAAAACAATATAATGAGCTGTCACTGGGATAATTTTAACAGCTGTTGGACGAGTGGCTTAGAAATGAAGTTGGTTGTAGTTTTTTCATCTCACCCTGTAGTGCACAATAAACCCGAAATCGGTTGAAGATAAATGTGGAAGCTATATCCAAATCTGAACCGATCTTGACAAACTTTTATACACTTATTTCAGAGCTGTATCTGATATCTGGTACCAAAGATCATTGCTGTGGAGTGCATATTACGCGTGGGAGTGACTTAAAACCCCAAATCGAATGAAACATGTATATGGGAGCTATAGATGTATCTGAACCAATTATCTCCAAATTTAATGTGCTTGCTTCTAGACTGAATTCGGTCGGATGTGCCAAAATACATTTGAACTGATATTGGCCACTTCGAGTATAATTAAAACGAAATAAACTGAAGATATATATGGGAGCTAAACATAAATTTGAACCGATTTTCACCATGTTCGATAGGGTTCATCTTTGAGCCAATCGAATATTGTTTGGAAAATTTAATCTTAATCGGATAATAAATGCGACCTGCATAAATACATGGACAGACGGACTGACATGCATAAATGGACTAAGAAAGTGATTCTATTAAGATCCTCAAAAGTAACTGTGGGTCTATCTCGCTTCCTTATGCATGTTACAAACAAATGTGCAAAGACATGATACCCTTACCACCATGTGGTGTAGGGTATAAAAAACGGTCGTTCTATTTTTATACCCATGAATTATTCAATACTTTAAAATGGCCATAACTCCTTAAATATTGAGTTTTCGGCGTTTTCAACTATTACTTGTGATCACTTTTTAAGTCATGAATTATTGAATACTTTAAAATGGCCATAACCGTGGAAAGGAGGGCATATTATTTTTGTCATTCCGTTTGTAACACATTCTAATACTCGTCAGATTCGTAATAAAGAATATATATTCATGATCAGCTTTCTGCTTCACGATGCAGTCTTCATTGTTTCATGTAGAGCTTCGAATTTTGGATCATGGGAATTAAAGAGGAGGTGTATTAGTTCATGTTTTTGCCCCAAAAACAAGGGTATCTTCCGATATTCATGTTTTTAGACCCCAATTTACCCACGGAATTTTGTCAATTTTGGTATTTAGAGTTTGTTATGGGCTTTGCCCCAGGTCACAGAACATTGTATTGGACCAAGTTTTATTTTAATCCCCATATAGTTTCAGATATTCGCTATTTAGACGATTTTAGGTTCATTTTCGCACGCATTTGTCTAAAAATCGATATTTGTAGTTCGTAATGGGTTCTAACGGTACCTGAGGATTTTAGCCACATTTTTCCATGGAAACGTTCCCATTTGGTGTTTTGTTTGTTGTAATAGGTTTTTCCTCCTGTGGCAATTTAATGGTATCTCTAGATATTCAGTATTTTAATTAAGGCCACATATTTTAGTCAGATTTGTTTAAAAATCGGTATTTGTAGTACGTAATGGGTTCTACCACCAGTGTCACATTGTCTATATTGGTCTACAGTTTCCTGTAGCCCCCATATTATGGTACAACACGATATTCGGTATTTTGATGATTTTAGCTACATTTTCGACTTGCAATAGATAGCAATCCTATTAGTAAGAAATTTTTTTGGTACAGCAGCCATATAACAGTCCCTTAAACTTAATGGGATTTTGGAAACTTTAACTGCATTCTCCACTTAGGTTTTGTTGTCGGACTATGTGTCGCTGTTGCTCATGTCAGAAGGTATGTAATTGTCGTATTGGGCACATATGAGTACCAAGCAATTTTCTGACAGAGGGATAAGTACCTATTGAGGTTTTACTCTGAGAGTTTTTCTAAATCCGAAAAAGAGTTAAAACATACTAAAGAGTTAATAAATATTAAAAAATATGTTGCTGCCTGCCTAAATCAATTTCCAGGATTTCAAATAAATTATGATTGAGAACTTAATCCACTTCCAAATGACATTTTACTAAGAGCATGTGTTTTTTTATTTAAATTCCCAACATTTGTTTGATTGTGAGTATTAATATCATTGTGATGAATCTGTGCAGTTTTTTATGAATTCAAGGTAATGACAATGACAAATAATACAAAAAAGCTTTACAAATACATATGTATGTGTGTTCCCGTATGTGTATACGCTTTACAATAACATCAAGTGATTAATTAATGTTTTCATACATACATATGTGTGTATATTATTAAAACTCCCATTAAAGAGAACATAATGCAAAAACAAGTAAAAAATCAGCTAAGTTCGGCCAGGTCGAACTTTTAACACCCTCCACCATTTTGAAGGAACTTGCAGATTTTCCAAAAACAATCCTTAGAAAATTACAACTCAAAGAAAAATTGTTATATGGGGGCTATATGGAGACGTGGTCCTGCATTAGCATTTTTTTTAACTTTATTTTAAATACGAAATTTGAAAGAATTCTGGTAAAAAAAAATGTCACTAATGTGGACCTTCATAGACAATTTTCCGTCGTAGGTTGTAGTATTCATTACGAGCTTCAATTTCAAAATTTAAAACAATTCCGGTGAATAATGTCTCTAAAATCAACAAAATACCGAATATCGGGAGGTATCATTATATTGGGCCTATACGAAGACGTGGACTTACATAGACTATTCTACTCCAGTTGGAAAGGTACTCAGAAGGAACTCCTGGTGGGGATTTTCGAATGATTCCATTGAAAAATTTAGCTAAAATCATCAAAATAGCGAATATCGGGGGATATCGTTGTATGGGGGCCATACGATATCGAGAACCTATATAGACAATTCTCTTACAGGTGATGAAGAACTCAGATGGAACTCCTGGTGTGGATTTCAAGACAATTCCATTGAAAAAATTGGCTAAAATCATCAAAATAGCGAATATCGGGAGGCACCGTTAGATGGGGGATATACGAAATCGTGGAACTGTATAGATAATTCTCCTACAGATGATGAAGGACTCAAATGGCACTCCTGGCATGGATTTTCAGACAATTCCATTGAAAGATCTGGCTAAAATATTCAAAATAACGAATCTCGGGAGGCACAATATATGGGGGATATACAATATCTTTAAATTATATAGACAATTCTCTTCCAGGTGGTAAAGTACTGAAAAGGAACTCCTGGTGTGGATTTTCAGACAATTTCATTGAACAATTTGGGGCCTAATTGGCCCCAATGTGGCTAAAATCATCAAAATACCGAATATCGGGGGTACCGTTATGTGGAGGCTATGGGATATCGTAGACCGACGTGGTCCATCGTCGAACTTGACCTGCCTGCAGATAAAAGGCTGATCTGTACAAAATTGTAGCTTCCTATCTTAATTCATTTTGACTCAACGTTTTGACTCTACAACAGATGGACCTACGGACAGGGTTAAATCGTCTTAGAAATTTACTCTGATTAATTTAATTACTAAAATAATTATTTCGATGAGTTACAAACGGAATGCAAAATTTTAATATACCCTTCATGTATGGTGGAGGGTATAGAAACATATCAATATTAATACAACCGTTTGATTATA